TTGAGAACCCAGCAGGCGACTCATGTTAAACCAAGCTTCTTAATTTCCATGCTCTTAGTATTATCCACAGAGTATCGACTCCCCCCCCCCCCCAAAGAGTTGTACATTTATTTTTCTGGATGAAGACCCATTTGAAAAAGACTCCATCCTTCATATAAACGGAAAGACAAAGAATATTTGGAAATTCTCCTAATATTCCCTAGAGATGCGACAGAGCCTTCCTTCACACACTTCTGCTGACCTCCGGGCACTCAAGAAGGATTAGGAGTCAAAGGCCTCTGAGGAAACCTGGCTTCAGTTGAAAAGAAGCCGCTGTGAACGTGCTGACCGCTAAGCCAAGTAGCAGGGCTGGCCCTCAAAACCCTGGCCCTGTCTGCTCAAAGGGCCATCAGGAGGGTGGTGGAGTCCAATGCCACGGCCTTCATCGAAAACCGTGTTTAGTTTTGTCACCTCGTTTCGTTCTGCCCAAGGAATGTAGCTACATCAGGGCATCTTTCCAGCCACGAAGAAAGCTATTCCAGAAGCACGCAGGCTGGGATACAGTTAAGGCGCCCCAGCCCTGGTGGAACAAACAAAACCCTGATGCAGTGGGGTAACTAGAGAGCAAAGTGGGCAGTGGCCTGCCTCCTTCTAGAGAAGAAAAGTCACTGGGGGATGGGGAGAGTGGAAACCCTCCCCACAACAAACCAAGGTAGGATTTGTGTGCCAATCTGAGAGAAGGAAGGAGAGCCTGGGCAATTCAGAGGCAGGAGCTTGCACAGAACCAGGAATGGTGCTGAAGAAAGATGCCCGGGGCACCTCAGCACAAAACCAGCTGAGGACAGGTGCCAGGAAGAGCTTCGTCTCAACTAGGAGAGGCCAGGTTCATAGAGGACACATAAAGGTGGTGAGGACACACCAAATTATAATCAGTTGTTTACTCCTTTATAAGGAACATAACCAACAGAATGACATGTCATAGTGGCTAACATCTTAACAGAAAATTCCTTGTTATATTAATTAATTCACTTATAAATAAAACTGAACTAATTTCTTATCATTTTTACTTTTTTCTTGCTTATTTTAAGAATACACTTAAGATGAGATCTACCTTCTTACATCTTTACATGTACAATACAGGATCATTAACCTGAGGCCCCACGTGTATAGCAGATCTCTAAAATGTATGCATCTTGCAAAACGTCAACGTTTCATCCTTTGACCAACACCTCCCCACTGCTCCCTCGGCACACCCCTGCCCCTGGCAACCACCGTTCCGCTCTCTGCTCTAATGAGTTTGACTCCTTCAGAGATCTCATATATGAGGATTCATGTAGTAATTGTCCATCTGTGACTGGCTTATTTCACATCCAACAGTGGTCTTCAGGGTCTTCCATTCTTTTTTCATATGATGGGATTTCTTTTATTTTAAGGCTGAATAATATTTCATTGTACATATATATACCACATTTTCTTTACCCAGTCATCTGTCAATGGGCAATTTAGGTTGTTTCCATATCCCTGTTATTGTGAATAATGCTGCAACGAACATGGGAGTGCAGATATCCAGATTCTGATTTTAATTCGTTAGAATATATAACCTGGAGTGAGAATGCTGGACCATAGGGTAGTTCTATTTTTATTTTATTGAGGAACCTCCATACGCATCCTTTTACATTCCCACCAGCTGTGTACATGAGTTCAAATTTCTCTACATCCTTGCAAACACATGATTATCTTTTATTTATTTTCTTCATAACAGCCATCCTAACAGGTGTGAGGCAATAGCTCACTGTGGTTTTTGATCTGCATTTCTCTGATGATTAGTGATGTTAAACAGCTTTTCATGTACTTACTGGCATTTGTCTGTCTACTTTGAAGAAATGTCTATTCAAGTCCTTTGACCATTTTTTAATTGGTTTATTTGTTTTTCTGCTATAGAATTGTAGGAGTTCCTTATACACTCTGGATATTAATCCCTCATCAGACATGGGGTTTGCACATATATTCTCCCATTACTTTTCATTTTATTGTTTCCTTCCTTTGTTGTGCAAAAGCTTTTTAGTTTGATGTAGTCTACTTGTCTTTTTGGTGCCATTTCCGAGAAATCATTGCCCAGGCCAAGGTCAAAAAGCTTTTCTCCTATGGTTTCTTCTAGGAATTTTATGGTTTCAGGTCTTACGTTTAAGTCTTTAGTGTGTTATGAGTTGCTTTTTGTGTATGGCTTAAGAGTCCAATTTCATTCTTCTGCAGGTGGATATCCAGTATTAACAACACTATCTGTTGTTCACAAACCACTTGTTAAAGTCACTTTCCTTTCTTCATTGTGTATTCTTGGTTTCCTGTCGAAGATCAGTTGACTGCAAATGTGTGGGCTTATTTCTGAGCTCTCTCTTCTGTTTCATTGGTCTATATGTCTATCTTTATGCCAGTACCACACTCTTTGGATATCTATAGCTTTGTAATTTATTTTGAAACCAGGAGGTATGATGCCTCCATCTTTGTTCTTTCTCAGGATTGCTTTGGATATTCAGGGTCTTCTGTGGTTCCACATGAGTTTTAGAATTGATTTTTCAATGTCTGTAAAACATTCCACTGGAATTTTGATAGCGATAACAATATCAAGTCTTCCAATCCATGAACATGAGATGTCTTTACATTTATTTGTGTCTCTTTAAATTTCTGTCATCAATGTTTTGTAATTTTCAGTGTATCAGTCTTTCACCTCCTTGGTTAAGTTTATTCCTAAATATTTTATTCCTTTTTATGCTACTGAAAATGGGATTGTTTTCTTCATTTCTTTTACAGGTAGTGTGTACAGAAATGCAACTTTTTTTTTCTATGTTGATTTTGTATCCTGCAACTTTTCTGAATTTGTTTGTTAGTTCTAACACTTTTTTGGAGGAGTCTTTAGGGTTCCCTACATATAAGATCATGTCATCTGCAAAGAGAGGTAATTTTACTTCTTCCTTTCTGATCTATATGCCTTTTATTGCTTTCTCTTACTTAATTGGTCTGTCCAGACTTCCAGTACTATGTTGAATAGGAGGGGTGAGAGTGAGCATCCTGTCTTGTTTCCAATCTTAGAGAAAAACTATCAGTTTTTTACCACTGAGTATGGTATTAGTTGACAATATATGCCCTTAACTATATTAAGTTACATCCCTTCTATACCTAGTTTGTTGAGTTTTTATCATGAAAGGGTTTTGAATTTTGTCCAATGATTTTTCTGTATCTATTGAGATAATCTTATTATCCTTCATTCAATTAATGTAGTCTATCACTTTTATTAATTTGCATATGTTGAATCATCTTTGCATCCCAGACATAAATCCCACTTGTTCCTGGCGTATGACCCTTTTAATGTGCTGTTGAATTCAGTTTGCTAGTATTTGGTTGAGGATTTTTGCATCTGTGTTCATCAGAGATGGTGGCCTATAGATTTCTTTTCTTTTTTTTTTTTTTTTTTGGGTAGTGTGTTTGACTTTGGCATCATGGTAATGCTCATGTCATTAAATGAGTTTAGAAGTGTTGCCTGCTCTTCAGTGTTTTAGAAAAGGGTGAAAAGGATTGGCATTAATTCTTCTTTAAATGTTGGGTAGTATTCACCAGTGCAGGCATCTGGACTTTTATTTGTTGTAAGATGATTCAATCTCTTTACTCATTATTGGTCTGTTCAGACTTTCTATTTATTCATAATTCAGTCTCAGTAGGTTGTATGTTTCTAGGAATGTATCCCTTTCTTCTAGGTTGCTGGCACGTTAAGTGTTCGTAGTAGTCTCTTATGATCCTTTTTATTTCTACGGCATCAGCTGTAATGTTTCCTCTTTCATTTAGGATTTTATTTTTTTGAGTCTCCTCTCCTTTTTTCTTAGTAATTGAGCTAAAGGTTTGTCAATTTTGTTTATCTTTTCAAAAACCCAACTCTTAATTTTATTGAAGTTTTCTACCCTCTATTTTGTTTATTTCTGCTCTAATCCTTATTATTTCCTTCCTTTTGCTGACTTTAGGCTTAGGCCTAGTTTTTTTTTTTGGTTGTTGTTGTTCCTTGAGGTGTAAAGCTGGGTTGTTTATTTGAGATCTCTCTTCACCAGTAAGCCAACACTATAGATCAATGGACCTAACAGACATATACAAAACATCTCCCCTAACGGCAGCAGAATACACATTTCTCTCAAGTGCACAAGGAACATTCTCCAGGATATGTCACACATTAGGTCACAAAACAACTGTTAACAAATTTAAGAATATTGAAATCATACCAAGTATCCTTTCCTACCATGATAGAATAAAGCTAGAAATGAGTAACAGAAGGAAAATTGGAAAAGTCACAAATACTTGAAAGTTTAAAACTGCACTCCTGAACAATCAATGGGTCAAAGAGGAAATCAAGGAGGAAATCAAAAATTATCTCGAGACAAATGAAAAATGAAAAGACAACATACCAAAACTTTGCAATACAGCAAAAGCCATACTAAGAGGGAAGTTTATAGTGATAAATGCCTATGTTAATTTCTTATCTTAAACACACATATCCCTTATTGTTTTGATTGCACAAGTACTCAGCCTACCACCGCTTGGTGGCAGTATACCTAAATACAGGGTCTAGTTTTGAGTTGGAGAATTAACCCTTTGGAAGGTAGATTATGTGAAACTGAATACAATAAGTGATGGACTATATAACAGTAGGAAGTGCTACATGCTTTGATTCATGAGAAACGGAGAGAATGGTAGTTCTGCCCAGGAGCAAGAGTTCCAAGGCAGAGCTCTGCTCACCTGACACAAGAGGGCGCTCTATTGACTTTTCTGTTTTCTCCACCAATCAGATTTTCTTCCCTTTACTTTGGTCTCCCATCTCTTATTCACTGAAAGCACTTACTGCAAAGGTAGCAGTTGCTCTCGGAAGAACAGAAGCTGTTCAGATTTTTAAGATGCCCCAAAGCTGACAAACAGGACCAATGGCATCGCCCACCACCGAGTCATGATATTCACCGTGATGTCCTGAAGTCCCAGTTACTCACCAAGGTTGTACCACATGTCCCTGATTTCGAAGCCAATCTGTCTCCTCATATCTCCGTACCTGAAAACCAGGGACAGGAAAAACGCTGAGTCACTCTATGGAGCATTTGAAGATCAGATTTGGATTATTTTTAAGTGCAATGAAACTCTCCCATCCCTGAGACAAATAAAGAGAGTGTCAAAGCATCAACTTCTTTTGCAACCAAAAGGAACTGAAGGAGGAGGAATCCAGCTAGGGATCTCATTTTGCCATCCCCACAGATTACATAAGATCCTCCCCTCTGTGGAAACATGGGGGAGGTGGTGGAGAGAAATGAAAGTATTTTCCTTTCTTCAGTCTCTAATGGCAGGAGAAAGAGAACCCAGCTCCTTGGCTTGAGGGGGAGTTTGTTTTCCACGCATGTTATAAGCATCCAGGCACCAGACACCAAATGACATCCTACAGCCCGGCACACAATAAGCAGTTCTCACATGTTAAATTAAGCCCTGGAGTCTTAGACAATCAGAGCAGGGAAGGCCTCTTCCATATAGCTCCCAGCTCCTGGCTCTTTCTTTATCATTTTCAATGTAAGGAAGGGCGTAACACCAAAAGATGTCAACAAACATTCCCCTGTCTTTATGTACCAGCAAAAATAAATGCTAATTTTCTTCCCAGTGGGTCAGCAGAGGGGGTGTGTGTTTCATGAGTAAACAGAATTTGATGTTTCAGAAGATAAACCTTTATTAGTTTGTGAGCAATTTAACATTTTCCTTTATTGCCTAAGGAAAAGGCTGATTGTATTACAAATAATAATTTGCAAAATTATCCTACAGTGTTACAGTGTAGCAGCTGTGTCGTGGCGCCTGCTCTGTGCGTCCTTATGTCAGCTCATGTGGGAAGAAAAGCTCTGATTACAGATGACCGACTTGCGCCTCCACAGGTAGAGATCCGGCTGGTAAATCAACAGCCCCAGCTGGCTGCTACGCTTTATCAAAGTCTCGGGTACCCTAAGCACCCGTCTGTCACTTACAGCAGGAAAGGACAGCAGACCCTGCGAGAATCTCAACCAGGAAAGATGAACGCACCCAGCAGCTCTTCTTTGGAGAATTCAACCTTGGGAGCATCACAGCCGGACAGGTGCCAGGGCATTCACTGTACCCGTGGAGAAACTGAAGTGAGAGGTCAGTGTTGTACCCCTTCCTCCGAGGACAAGCTGGTCCTCTGAGGTGAATGTATTACCTTCCAGTCCAGCCTGACACCAGGTGAGCACTGGTGCAGGTAAATTCGGTGAGTGAGAGAGAGGGGATCTCTGCCCAGGAATGCTCCCAGCACCAAGCCACAGGGAGCAGGGACTGGGTCACCCTTCTGCGCCTAGCTGGCACCCAGAAGTGCCCCAGGGGCACAAGATCTGAGCACCAGTGAGGCGTGCACCCTTTTGAGGCTTGCAGAGCCGTTTTCCAATCCCCATTTTGCTCCTGTAGGAATGACAGAGGGGTCCCAGCACCCAGGCCTGGAGAGGATGCGGGTGGCTGCATGATGACTGGGAAGACCGTTCTCTGGGCATTTACCAAGAGAATAGGATCGGGGAGAGGAAAACCACGCTCCATCCAGTGCAGATGCTTCCTCCTCAGGCTGGAGGGGTCCGCGCTGTCCAGGGGGATGAGCTGCCTTTCAGGGGAGCAGGTGTCTGGGGAGGTGAGGAGTGTGGCATCGCAGGGAGGACCCCGAGAACGTAAACACCCCAGCCCCTGCTGCCAGGTGTTCAGACCTCAACACAGTGAGGACGCCAGAGGCCCAGAGGAGGCGAGAGCCTGTCCCGGGATGGGCCTGTCACTAACTCAAGCTTAAAGACTCTTAACTGCCAAGCAACTCCTTTTCAGCCCGGAACAGTATCTCTTGAAAAATACGAATGGTTAAAGCCAAGCTGATCTCCATCAGTGTCTGCGCCTTGCTGGCCCCTGACTCAACTTCCTCTCCCAGGTCTTATAATAATTCAAATCAAACCCCAAAGTTCAGAAGGATAAAGCGCAGGACAGCCTTGGCAGCAGCGGGCTCACGGGTTGGGTTTGGATCACCAGGAGTGACCCAATGGACACCTCAGGCCCTACAGTGACTGCTGTCTGTCCAGTGCTGGACTTGACCCGGGGACCCCAGGAGGCATGTGAGGAGAGGGAAGCTGGCCCCGTCCTGTCTCTCTGCCCAGTGCCTCTGTTCCTGGTGCCGGCGGAGCGTGAGGGGCTCAAGGATGCCTGGGTTACGTTTTTCAGTGACGCTTCACTGTCTTCTACGTGGGGAATGATGTGTCTTCACAGTATTTCAGAACGGGGGGATTAGCAAAGATCTGAGTGCACGTCGCTCAGGAGAGTAAGGCCTCTGGTAGAAAGGTGCTAAAGATGCCATTACAATAGTCAAATAAGACACAGGTGCTCGAGGCTGGTACAAGATGAGTAAAGAGCTGGAAGGTGAGGGGCAGGACCGAATCTCTCCGGCAGTAAGATTGATCTTTTCTCTCATTTTAATAAGAAGGCAGCTCTGACAAATCTATACACTTCTCAGCGTAATCCCCAAATGGAGTCACAGCTGTCACCAAAACTTAAGAGGGATTCCTGAACCATTTGCAATCCTTGCCCCAAGGAGGAGAAAAAAGCAGTAATGGAGAGTATCTGGGCTCATGCTCCTACCTGGAGAGAGAATTCCAGAGCTGGTGGCAGCCTTAGAGATTGTTACTAAGTCCATGACTAGCGATTTATAGTTGAGGGAACTGAACTAGTCCTGGGGCGGGGGGGGACGTAAAATGACTTGGCCATGGTCACAGGGCAAGGGGAGAAGAGACTGCACAAGTCTCCAGGCTCCCAAAGAATTCCGGTTCTTCACTCCCAGCATGCATCTCGAGGACCAGAGAGGGCAGACTTCCACGATGTCACAGCACAGCACTGTGTCTCACCCCTCAAAGTGCATGTGTGGCGTGTTTCATTTGATTTGATTCTCACAGTAAGACCACAAAGAAGAAGACGTTCCCGTAGCTGTCTTCCCACTGAGGAAGCAGAGATTCCTGGGGGTGAAATGACGTGCCTGTTTCTGCAAAGGCGGAGTCACCCGGTGCTTCCCCCCACCCCCAGGTCGCCTGCGCCCACCCACAAAGTGAGTGGACAACTCCAGACGGCCAGCCCGAGGGAGCCCCCAGGAGGCATCCTTTAGACAGCCCAGGTAGATCGCAGATCCCACATCCAGGCCTGTAACTCTGACCCAAAATAGCATGACTCTGGTCTCTGAGACCTTACCTTAGCACCTGCTTTCCTGAATCTCTGCCCCCAAAAGCAGAAATCCCATGTCCACCAGAGATATAGCCCAAGCCTGGGGGTAAGACCAACCTGAGAGCAAATCTGAGCACACTGGGAAAATTACCTGACCGCTCTGACCCTTGGTCTCCCCATGTGTAGTACTGGGATAATGGCGGCATGATGCTCCTCTCCCAGGCCTTTGGGAGAACGAGGACACGGTGCCCTCGTCTGTCCTAACAAGCAACGAAGCCAGGCTGGTCCTTCCTTTAAAAGCTCAGAGTGGGCCTCATCACAGCATCCCCCTCATGGTTGCAATGGTCTTTTAGATTAATTTGTTCTGTAAGCGTTATTCATTGTTTGATGAATTACTAAATGCTTACTGAAGGCCAGGCACAGAGCTAATACGGGGACACTAATATAATGTGGGAAAGAGACACAATCCACAGACCTGAGGGACTATTAGCATGCAGCAGAGATGGGCATTAAACAATCATACGAGACTCACACATATATGTATATATAGTAGTTTTTTTGGTTATTATTTATGTATTTTTGGAGGCCACGGTCACAGTTCTTTAGGAAAAACTGGAGGAGTGGGTCCAGGTTGGCTGTGGGAGAAGCTCTCTTAGAGAGTAATATTTACCCAAGATTTGAAGAAGGAAAGCTGTAATCCAGACAGAGAGGGGAAGAGACCAGCAGGTGCAAAGGCCCTGTGGTGGGGTGGGGGTGGGGGTAGGTGAGTATATGGACCAAAGAAGGCAGTGAGACTGGAGGACAGGGAGCTTGCCTGACTCCCTCCCCTCAAGAGGAGGGGTGTGCTGTGAACCAAGGCTGCAGAGGCAGGTTGATAAGTATTTTTTTTAAGTTTCAAAAACTCTTTTGCAATAAGAAATATACTTTACTAAGCAGCATGCATAAAAATGTACGTATACAAAAGTTCTATGAAATAATACTTAACTTTACTACCTGCAGTCAACTCTGATGCTTTCTTATATTCTATTTCACCGAAAAAAAAAAAAAAAAAGGGAAAAAAATGTATGTTGGTCTTGGGTCGTGTGGGTTGACTTGTGTCCTCCATAAAGATCTGTTAAAACCCTAACCCCTACTACCTGTGAATGTGACCCCCTAAAGAGGGTCTTTACAAGATGTAATCCTGTTAAGATGAGGTCATGCTGGACGGGGCGGGCCTTAAATCCAAGAACTGGCATCATTATAAGGAGAGGGATACATTTAGAGACACAGACAAACAAGGCTGAAGGCCACGTGAAGAGGGAGGCAGAGACGAGAGTTATACAGCCACGGCCACGGAGCACCAGGGATGGGGGCCACGGCCACGGAGCACCAGGGATGGGGGCCACGGCCACGGAGCACCAAGGATGGGCGCCACCCACCCCAAGAAGATAGGAGAGAGGCACGGACAAGGTCTTCCCTCTGAGCTTCCAGAAGGAACCAACTCTGCTGATGTCTTGGCTTCAACCTCTGGCCTCTGTAACTGTGAGGCAATAAATTTCTGCTGTTTCACTTAGTTTGTGTTGTTACATTATGGCAGATGACTCTAAGAAATTAATACAATGGCCCATTAAGTTGCTATCCCAGCCCGGTGAAGCGCTGAGATGCACAATTTAAAAACTGCTATCTTAAGGAAAGAGAACAGAATAAGAAGGCCCAACACCAAGACTTGTGGAGCTCTTGCACTTAATGGGTGGAGGGAGGAGTCTGAGCCTGACAAGGGAGCAGCGGAGAGGCCAAAACGCTAGGAGGGAAACCTACAGAGGGGTTCTGGGAGCCCAGGACAGAGGT